GCGGGTACAGGGGCCAGGGGGAGGGGTGCCGGCTGGGACCGGTCACAGCCACGGGCCTGGACCACTGCCTCCTCTCCCCCAGATGGCCGCCCGCTCCTGCCCAACCTGCTTCTTGCTCTTTTGTGAAGCTGGCTTCTGGGCACATGCGGAGCCTTCACTGATCAGCCCAGCAGGGAAGTGAATGGAGGGAACCACAGAGCGTAGGCCCCCGCGTCAGTCAGAGCCACCTCCAGCCCAGCCCGGCTAGGCACAGAATCCACGGGAAAAATCATATCACATACTGGGCTCCAGATGAATCACTGCAGAGGAAACAGCTGTGTTGATGAAATTTTAAAGCCGACATGAGAAAAAATATGAACTGCAATACAGTAATTTAGCCTGTGAACACTCTGGCACATTTTTAATTAAAGCTGTTTTGGAGTTAAATAGAGGCCGTGGAGGGAGAGGGTGGGCAGTGGGGAACGGGAATCCACAGAGGCTCTCTGCCCTCCCACCCAAACCCCAAAGCCACGTCACCCGAAGACAGTTAAAAGAATAACATTGCTCTCCCCTGCTTTTCACCAAAGGCAGATTTTCCACTTTGCACAGAGCTGGAGGTTTCTGTGCAATTTGATTTCACTGAAAAGATATAGGTGCCAGAATCATAAAATCTCACAAGCTAGAGCCCATGAGACCGTGGCCAGAATCCCACCCATGGCAGCAATCTCCTTCTCCAATATTCCCAAACATGGTCATCCATCACCCCCATCCATCCATCCATCCATCCATCCACACTTGATTACCTCCAAAGATGGTACACTCACTACCTTATGAAGCCGCTCTCCCTGGGTTAAGCAGACCTTCCTTATTCTGGGCAAGAACCAGCCTCCCCTCCCGGCCTGGGAGACCAGGCAGGTACAGCCAGGGTTCCCCAAGATGCATCCACCAAGTCTAGCTGGGCATTGAGACACAGATGTGACCACTGAGACCCAGCAGCCCAGTCCTTGAGTACCTAACAGTCCAGCAGGGGTCGGGGCCAGGCTTCACAAGGAGGACCCCAATACCCCATCAGCAAGAGAGGGCAGCCTATGGGGCTGAGAGAGCCCAGAGCAAGTGCCGGGCCACCTGGGGGTGGCTGGGGAAGGCTATTGGCAGGAGGCCAGGAGGAAGGAGGCTAAGGAAACCCCATCTTCCCTGAACCCCATCAAAATAAGACCAGTACTCTACTTGTGGGCTGAGCCCTGCCCACGGAGTTCTCCCCACCTCCACTGTCCTCCACAGCCCTCCCGTATACATGAGCCTGCTGGCCAGGACAAGGAGGCAGCACAAGAGTGCCCCCTGTGGGTAGGCCTCTGCCTGGACACCACTGCACCCCCGGGCCATGCACACAGCAGGTGATCAGTTACACATGGAGTGAGTGCCCATTTTACAGGTAAGCAAACAGAGGCCAAGGGAGAGGAAGTGGCTCAAGGGTCCTCATAAAGCTGATGCCACCTGAGCCACCCTAGGAACCCAGAGGCAGGCAAGGTATCAACTGCTGCCAGGAAGCCCTGAGCAGGCCAGAAGAGGCCCTTCTCTCACTGTTTCTCACATCTCCCGCATGGCTCAGAACAGCAATGCCCTCCTCCAGGGCACCCACCCACCCTCAAGGCCAAGCCCTGGTGGCAGCAGGTGGCAGGGGCAACAGGAGCCCCGCCCATGACCCTGGAGATGCCCTGCCCACACCCTGGCCCCTGGGTGCTTTTGCATACTGTAGCTTGAGGGTCAGCCCTCAGCTGAAGCAAGGGGACCAGGGCAGGTGGGTATGCAGTGCACTGGAGGGCCCAGGCCCCAGCACCACACGGCTGCCCCCTTCTCGGGATGCTGGGTATGGCCCTGACACCGCTCACTGGGAGACCCTGGGCAAGACCCCCACTCGCCAGCAGAGTCCTCGTGAGGAAGAGACGAGGATAGGACCCAGGTGCCCCACCCCTATGACACACACAAGCACCCACGGCTATCACCAGAGCAGCTCAGCCTCACAAGCCTTCATTTGGGGAGAAAAAAAAGTCTACTCAAGAAACAAGAAACTTGGAACACTGGCACACTGGATGGTCTCTGAGTTCCCAGCACTTCTCCTGTACCAGCGAGGAGCCGGGCCAAAGCATGTTCTTGTCCCTAAAGCCCAATCTGCCTGAAGCCAGCAAGCCTGGGCCCAGGCGAGAGGTCGCGCCCCCATCTGATGGCTGTGTGTTTCCAGAGAGCCTGGCGTGGGTACAGGTCGGGGACAGAAGCCCACTGCTGCTGCCTCCAGGACAAGGACAAGGTCCCCAGTCTGACCCCTGGGAGCAGGTCAGAGCAGGCTTGGTGCGGAGGGACCAGGCAGAGAAACCCCCTGCCCAGGTGGTGGCCGCGCCCCTGATGCTCCAGACACAGGGCCCCGTCAACCTCCACCTCTGCACTTGTGGGCATGGGGCAAGTGGACACAGCTATGGGGGGCTCCCTTATGAGACCAGGGGGTTCCCAGAGGCAGGAGGAAGAGGAAGGACTGCCACTCTGCAGCCCGAGCGTGTGCAGGTTTTGCACAAGTCCATGGTCAAGGCTACCATGTGGAACTGGGTGCATATTCACGGTGGGACAATGTGGCCTAGGAGAGCAGGGGCCACAGGGACACTTCTGTCCTTGTCCTTGGAAACAGGACCACAAGCCACGCCCTGCCTGGACCGCAGAACAGCATTGCAAATGGCATCCCAAATTTGGGGTCCAAGCTCTCAACCTGCTTCTCCCCAGTTAAACAGTGACACAAAGAACAGCTGGACTGGGGCAGACTCACAAGGCTGCTGACCCCCTGGTCGGAGGCTTCCACTGCCAGAGCGAGGTCCTGGCCTTCACCCTGCTGTACAGTGGCTGAAGTGAGTGACTTGCTTCCCTACTCGCTGAATGGGAACCAGCTCCAGAGCAAAGGCCCCCAAGTCCTGAGGCTGCCCCCATCACCTCTGCCTACAGCTCCTGCAGCCCACCCCACACACCCTCCTTAGCAACCAGGACAATCCCACATGGAGCGTTCAGGTCTAAGGAGCCCTAGCCCACAGCCAGGCGAGGCCCCAGCCCCTCCCTGCCCTTGCCAGCCCCGAGGAGCCAGCATATCTTGTAGCCAGGCCCTTCCAGCACCTTAACAAATGACACATTTTGTTTGAAAACAAGCCTTGCAATTCAGTGCCTGGCTATGCGCCTGACACAGTGCGGTGGCCATGGGATGTGGGGGAGCAAAGACCCAAATGTGAACCACATACTCTGCAGGGTGCTGACGAACTAGGGGGAATTTCCAGCAGCCCCTGCGAGGGCGAGAGGTGGGATGGCAGTCGTCGGGCTGCACTTGGGGCTGTGAGCATCCCAGCCGCCGCCCAGTGGGCAGAGAGGGTGTCTGAGCAGGGCAGTGGCGCCAAGCCCCCTGGTCGCCTAGCAACGAGGCCAGGCAGCTGAGCCCTCCCTGGGGCTGGTTCCCAGAGAAACGCTCTGGGCATCCTGACCGGCCACTTATGGGCCAGCAGATGTGGCAGGGGAGAGAGATACTGAGATGAAGTCGGGGATGAGTACAAGGGAGAAAGAGGCCGGAGGGTCAGCCGAGCCAGCTGGCCCCAGACACCCCGACCGACCGGGCTGATCACAGCCCCCCATCACCACCCTGCCAACAGCAGGAAAGGCCCCTCGTCCTGGCAGCCATGCCCCCTCCACGCTCCAGCCGCACTCGCCAAGGGCACAGACGCCTACCCCCCACCTCTCATCCTGCACCACCTCCTCCCCGCTCTGACCCCATCACCCATCTCTAACCCACTGTCCCTGTGCTGGGGACAGGCCAGGGACGAGGCCTGGCCTCATCTGTCTGTGGACTCAGGCCAGGCAGGAGGGAGGAGGGCAGACCCCAGCCCAGAGAGAAACTGGCACAGCAGGGGCAGGGAAGTTTCCATGGGGGTCTGAGCGGGGACGGGCCAGCCCGCCTCTTGCGCCTTGATGCGCCCATCCAAAGGGCAAAGCAGTCCACTTCTTCAGCACTTGTGTGTGTGTTCTGCGCCATCTCTGGGATGGGCCCAGCACCAGCCCCCAAGGAGCTTGCAGACCACAGAGGGGAAAGACAGGGAAAGGCTGTGATGGAGGGAAGGCAGGTGGCCGTCCTCGGCCAGGTGTCCCAGGAGGGGACTCCGGGCTGGAGTCGGGGGCAGGTGGAAGGTTAGGGATGGGAAGGGGGAAGGGAACCCCAGGCGTGCTGGGGCGAGAGTGGTGGGTGGCAGCAGGGCCTGCGCTGGCCCTCAGGGTGGGGTTGGCCCACAGCCAGCCTACCTGTGCCAGGAGCTTGTCACCCTCCAGCAGCTTCACCTTGGTCTCCAGCTGCCTGATGTAGGTGGACGAGGGATCTGTAACGACACAAAGGGGGCATGTCACCCGTCGGCAAACCGTATCCAACAGGAGGGCCCACCCCCCCCGGGCCCCCTCCGGTGGGCCTCTGAGCCCAGATTTCCCTGACCTGCAGAAAGGGGGTGATGGGTTCCCTCACCAGCTCGTCCTGAGCTGATTCCTTCAACTTCCACAATGCTTCAGGTCCAAAAAGAGTTCTCACAAACGCTCCCCTGATGGGACCCTCACCCAGGGGCAGCCCACCCCACAGCCCAGGGTCCAGGGAGGCCCTCCCCTGCTCAGGGGGGAAACTGAGGCCCCAAGCATGCCAAGTCAGCTTCTGGGCTTCCTCCGCTCCATCCTGCCTGACGCACAGAACTCCTACAAGCGATATGCTCGGGGGGCTGCATAATGCAGATAACCCACCACCCCTCCTGCAGTCAAGGGCCAGTGAGATACCTCCAACCACACGCTCCCAGTTCCTGAACGCAGAGGGGGTGAAATCCACCTTCCCTCACCACGCTGACCCCGCTACACAATCACATCAGAAGTGGGAGAGGGACTGCCCCCGGTGGCATGGCGGTTAAGAATCCGCCTGCCAATGCAGGGGACACGGGTTCGAGCCCTGGTCCGGGAAGATCCCACATGCCGCGGAGCCACTAAGCCCGTGCGCCACAACTACTGAGCCTACGCTCTAGAGCCCGTGAGCCACAACTACTGAGCCTGAGTGCCACAACTACTGAAGCCTGAGCACGTAGAGCCCATGCTCCTCAACAAGAGAAGCCTCCATTCACCGCAACTAGAGAAAGCCCATACGCAGCAACGAAGACCCGACGCAGCCAAAATATAAGCCAACTAATTAATCAATTAATTTTAAAAACCACCTGAAAGCATCCTGTCTCTATTAAAAAAAAAAAAGAAGCGGGAGAAATTCCGCCATCCTGGCTACCCACAGCCCTGGTCCTACCTCCCCATTGGGCTGGAAATCAGCTCAGAGGAGAAAACTAATGACTAACTCACTCCAGGCCAGGACAAGGGAGTCTGCCTGGGTGGAGGCCAAGGGTGACATGGGGCAGAGAGGGCAAGGGGAGGGAGGCAGAACACGGGACAGGGAAGGTTAACACAGGGTAGGGTAGGCAAGGGGACCGAAGAGTAACAGCAGGTGCCCGTGCCGAGGGAAGAAAGGTGGGTCTGAGCACCTCTGTGACAGCATGGGGTACCTGCCCCAGGAGGTCTGCTGCCACCTGCTAAGGGACGGCTATGCACCTCTCACCCGCACGAGCGCCCGGCCAGAGGCCACACAGCCCAGACGCCAGCCTGGACCCTGCCCACCCCTGGGCCAGTCGCTATTCCTGCCGTACCCACCAGC